TTCACACGAAGTATCAGACAGTTTTTCCTATATGATCTTTCTCCTACCTGTATTATTCAGTTGTTTATGGCCTGGTATAAAGACTACCTACTGGGAGCTTACTGAAAACTGGGCAGTAGTCTGAAAAAAAGCAGTGAATACTGTTGTGTTATTTTACATGGCTTAGCAATAATTTCCATGTGATTTCTTATCTCTCCAGTCTCTTGCACAACTTGTTCAACAGGTTTCTTCCCATTGAAATTTCCAAACTAGAATTAGCGAGGAATCATCTGACAAACCTATTTTGCAGTACAAAACACAGCTTCTATAGAATATCTCAGTTACAATGAGTGTACTACGAAATTATTTATTTACCTGTTGTGCTGCAAGAAAAACCAGATTTCAAAAGTTAACGATTCCCCATCCAGTGTGTATAAAGTTTTTCAAGCACCTGTGCTACAGCACTGGGTACAGGGCTCCTCAGGCATTCACTATCATCACCCAGACTCCAAATGATTTGGGTGAACCTGGAAGACTTTTCATCTTAATTCAGATTAAAATGCTTCCCAAAAGTTACCTTTCTTTGATGAAGCACTTCAGTCTGGAAGGGAGCAGACTGTCTTGAAGGTGTGCACTTTGAAATATTTTGAAGCCATCCATATCAGGTAGAAGTAGGCAAGAAAGTGCTCTGTCAGATTACAGTTGCTGTGATCTTCTAAATCAGATTTACCATCTACCTCTATCTGTTTTCTCACATTGTAAATCAAAGCAGTGCTGTTCAAAGTTCAATAAACTGGAAGGGAGATGTGTGATTTTCTTAGTTTTTACAGCAGCATGACTGCAGAGTCTTTTGGGATTTCATTTTCAGGGCATCGAGAGCAACTTCTGTGATTGCTCACAATTGTTCCCCAGTTGGAGAATATTGCTAACATTTTTATTTTGATAGATCAGTAGAATAAATCATGAGAAACCATGTGTTCCTAATAAAAATGGTATCATCCACTGTCAAAAAAATCCATTTTGTTACCCTGAGTGTCCATGCACTTCTAATGCTACTATAATCTGATGAACTTCTAGCAGGAACACAGCCAATATCTAATGATACTTTTACTCTGCTGCCAAGGCTGAAAGAAGCAGACATTGTCTCTCACACAGGGTGTAATAATCACAGGCATCATGAGAGCAACAGCCTCTTCTGATTTCATGAACTGTCTTCAAGCCTGAAAGGAATGTGAGTGGATTCAGTAGCATAGAGGACAGATGACCTATGGCTAATAACAACAATCCGATAACATATAATCCGGATAATCCAATAATGCAATAATCTGACAGTGGAGATTAATCATCTGTAATAGTCAGTGAGTAATGTTCTGTAGAAAAGTTCTGTAACTACAGACCTCTTGGGACATGAGAACTCAGGATTTCAGAGCATCCAAACCTTATGTCTGGGTAGCAGTAGAAACTCTCTGGAATCTCATGCCTTGATTTACTTGTCTCTCAATTTCCAACTAATAATCTTCCCTGAGATAGAAAAAGAGTCATACAGGTATATTGTAGAGCCTTTTCTCCCAGATAAACAGCATAAATGCAATGCTTTTGCTAATAATAAAGGACAGGAAGGGAGGATGAGGGATTAAATTCTAACTCTATGTGACAGTGTACCTGGAATGGGGTTTGAAAATCCTGAGAAGAGTGAGGGAGGCACATAGTGGGATAAAAACATTAGCTGAGGGCTACAGTCCAGTCTGCTTCAGCTCAGTTCCTGGAAAGACTGCAATGAACCCACCTGGAAGACATTTCCAGGTACGTATGTCTGCAAACTACGAGGTAACTTCCTACCTGGACAATTCCAGCATTTTGTTGTAGCTGCTGCATTCCATGTATTATTACATGGTTGACTGGAATAACTACATGAAATCTGAGTGCTTACATTCCCTATGTTTTTCTTATTTATTTACAGAGATGCATGGGGTCTTATTTTAGGAAATAATGAATTTAGTTTAAATTTTCCATTGCTGCCATGTGAGCAAATTCTAACAAGAAAAAAAAAAACACAGGAAATATTGTTTTTACTGTGAAATAACTTTTTACTGTACTTCGTACTGTGACTATGGTTACATCACTTGACATTTAGCTCAGTTCCCTCTTTGCTCTATAACTGTGTCACCATATTTCCCTTACGTCACAGAGCTATTATGAGCATGAACATATCGATTTCTGAAGTACATCATTGGAGCAATGACATCTCAACAGCCACTATTTTCCTCTCACTGAATTTATTTCAGGTCACCTCATAGTTACCAGTGTAGTATCAGAAATTACGAACAGAAAAGTATCTTATACCTTTCAGATCTCCAAAATTTGAAGGGTTCAGTTCAGTGTTTCTACCCCCATCCTGTTCTCAGGATCCTCTATTCTTTGCTTATAAAATGCAGTATTTTTTCAGGTGATAGTCACATCTATCAATGCACTCAATAGATCTTCAGTATCAATCACGATTAAAGACACCCATGGCAGCTAGAGCCTTTGTTGCTCACCTAATACTGACAAGTGATTGTGCAATTAATCAACTGCCATTTATGCCATGGATACTTATTTGGATATTCCCTGGCTGTTGTATTTCATAGTCTGGGCCATTTTTACTACTTCTAAATGAAAATGAGTTTTGCTCAAACAATCTCTACTGTCACATGAATGATTTTTCAATGACTATAGCTTTTTCTTACAGCTGTTATAAGAGGCAAAAGCACAAATCAGTGAATTTAATAATGAAAATGCAATCCAGTCACCCAGAGCTGCAATATCACAATTCAACGAGACAGAAACAAAAATTCAGTATGGTTATATAGAAAAAATACAATGCTGAAAATTTTTGCTACTTTAATGTTTAGAAGCAAAAAGTATGATTTATAAAGACTTTGATTGAGATATTATATGATTAACAGCAAAAGAAATTTATTTAATCTTTTTATATATATACACTGGTAATAATAATAATAATGGTAATAATAAATATTAGCATGTGAAAGTTGTGTGGTTAGTAAAACATTTGTGGAAAACCTAGAAAATGCTGTCCAGTTGCTTATGCATGTTGTTGGTATTGTTGTTCAATAAGTTACTGATAGAGGAGAGTATGGAAAACAAGGAATTGACTGTAAGTAATACATACATACATACATACATACATACATAAGTAAGTAATACATATCTTCAATTAATATCATTAGCATAACATTCCATAATATAATGTAAAAGCCTGTAAACCTACAGAGTCTCTCTAGCGTTCATATAGGTGGAATTCTTTCACCCATAGTTTTATGCCAATGCCATGTGCTCTGCATAACAACTTGAGTTTTGTTTGAAGTTTTAGACCAAAGGGTAAGTGATTACTAGAACTATAACCGACTTTAGGAAAATGCAATATCTGACAGCCATCTGAGAGACCTGTTCTCAAAGAGCAGAAATAAACTCCACAGGCAAATGCCACATATAACCTCCACCACCCGTTGGTCATGGCTAATAACCTGCCTATCATAACAGAGGACAAAAGGCCTTCATACAATAGAGCAGCTAGGCTCTGGAGCTTTCCCAGGAAACTTCACACAGTGTTGCTTAGACCAACTTGTGAGAAAGGGGAGCAGTTTTAGATTACACTAAACATTACCATGCTGTCAGGCCTGAAGAGCCCAATTCTGAATCTGCTCTACAAACACAGCTCCTGTTGACTTCAGCAGGAGCTCAGTGGGGGACAGCCTCAGACAAAATAGAAGGGCTCATTGGTATTAAAAGTGATCCCACTTTACTACTTTGCTGGATTCTCTCTTTTCATCCTTAGCCTGCGTTGCTTTGTAGTTCACAGGATATTTTCACTGGAGGATTTTGGTGCAAGCAGAGCTGTCTTGCTCATTATCCAGTGCCAATCCATTTATCTGTGAAATATTTGTAAACAGAGATGCTTTTTAGGATGAAAGGATTTTAGTTTCAATTGCAGTGGATTGGATGGTTGTAATTGCTGTTACAGAGAATGTCCCCTTTCAGTCAGTGGATCCAACATTTTGAAGTTAGTGTCACTGTTGCAACCTCTTCTCTTTCTTCATCTCACCTTTTCACTACATCCACCTTTTTTCCACAACCCTCCTACATCCAGATCCTTCCTGCCAAATACTCACCTATCCTCCCACTACTTCCTTTCAGCTTTAGGGTCCCCAAATCCCACTGGAAAATCTTGGCAGCTTGGATTCTCCTGTCTGCATCACTTCATGTCTAACGGTAGAAAGTTTTATCTCAGAAAACCAAATTTTATGCTGGGAGTAAGAACAAAGGAAAAAATTATGTGCTTAAGTACACTAATCTGATCACTAAAACTGGGAACACATGTTAACTAGGAGAGGCTAGGAGAAAAATGCTCCATTTGCCCTTGCAAAAAGTCTAGTCTGTCCATGTCTCAGCCACACTGTGACAAGCAGGTTTCATTTTCTACCTCCAGCTGACGCTGCAGAATACTTACCCTGATGCCACTGTTGTTTTTCCATTGTTCCCTGAGGTGCAAATACCAGTCTATTTCTGAATGGGCAGATAGCCAAAAATTTAAGGTCTTTGCAATGGAGACCTGTGAATATGATGTACTATTCTTATTCCAGACCTTTGTTCAAGTAACAAAATATTTAACTCCCTGTTGCCTCACATGTGCAGCTGTCTGTTGAAGAATCCCTGAATCTAAATAAAAAGTGGAAGGGAAAGAAATGGCTTTAAACATGAAGCGGGTAGATTTAGACTAGATATTAGGAAGAAATTCACTACTGTGAGGGTGGTGAGACACTGGAACAGGTTGCCCAAAGAGGGTGTGGATGCTCCCATGCTGGAGGCATTCAAGGCCGGGCTGGATGGGGCTTTGAGCAACCTGGTCTGGAGGGAAGTGTCCCTGCCTATTGCAGGGGGGTTGGAACTAGTTGATCATAAAGATCCCTTCCCACATAAACCATTCTATGATTCTATGAAAACACAATCACTAAATCAAGGAGTAACTAATAGTCTCTCTCCCTTTATTGTGATACTATATCTCCCATTTTTCCTTTCAGTTAATGTCATGTAAAGGGCCATTTGAAGGAAGGATTTGAACGCTATGGTGGGAATGAAGAAAAATAGATTTAACATCACACCTGTTAAATACAAAATGTAAGACTGTAGTAAATCTTTGAAAGATTGGTTAATCTCATAAGACACTGTTTAAAACTGCATTTGAAAGGAAATATTCATTGCACATCCCATAAAAATAATATTGAGAATTATGAAAGTTATTAGTTTCGTCAATTTAGCACATAAAAGCCAAGAAAACATCAGAAATACATTTCTTCCATGTATAAAACTTTCAGCAAATTGAACTCAGGAATTCCGTAGGGATGCACTGGAAAACCAATGTTTTGTTCTAACTTGCTTCAAAAATGTCACTCGTAAAGATGCAGGCAACTACTTATGTAGAAATTATTACAAAGAGAACTAGCTACAAAGCATCTGAGATGATCACCCCCATATATCTCTTTTTCAGACAGACAATTTGGAAGGTCTGACTTTCATCCTGCCTTTCCTCATTGCCTTATACAGGGTTATGTTCAAACTAGGGAAATTAGAAATCACCTCTAAATCAAAGAGTGTCTGAAATCTGTCCACAAATTGGTTCTCATTGTCCAGCCTAAACTTCATAGCCCACATAATGACAGTATCATTCTTGCACAAGTGGTCAAAAGTTAGTAGGAGCTCATCCAGGAAGGGATGATGGTAAACTACATCAGCAGCCATAATGTAGTCAAAGTGACATGAAGCTCTGGGAAAGTTTTTTTCCAGATCAATTCCCCAGGACAACTCCTTGACACAGGGCTGGTGCTTGCATTTCAGTTTTGTATTTTGGAGAACATTGTGCTGAAGGTTTCCCAGCAGTTCTGGCAAATCAGTGGCAGTCACAAGTGCACCTGTGACAGGAAGAAAACAAAAACAATCTTTCAATATACTTCAAGACTCGAGTAAAAGCCCACTTGCAAAAGCCACTGCACAAGGAACCGATTTTAGCAAATTTTCTGTCTAGGGGAATCGAACACTGTTATTGCTCCCAATAGTTATTACTCATTGTACTTAAATATTTGGTAACTGGCAGCAGTTCTGCTGCACAGACTGCAATCTAAAGACAGCTGGGCTTGGGTGGGGATAAATCAAATACTACATCTTGATGTAATTTTCAATGAAAGCACAGTGAGAGATTGGGAATTGAAGAGTAACAGTTACTAATTGCAGAAAATCAGCACTAGATTTAGGCATGGCCTCAGGTTCTTTCCTTTTAACATATCAACAAGCTTTCTCAGACTGCAGAAAGCTAAATTCTGTTCAAATACAGGGGTTACTGATTTGAATTACTCTTGAGGAAGGGCAGGCTGCCATGAGAGAAAACAAGTTTCTGTAGCAGAAAAGTCAAGGATCCGTTGCTGAAAGAAAAGGCTGAACTCAAGTCTGAAGGAAGTGACCTGGCATCCAAGAGGTATTTATTTGATCAATGGAAGATGATGTGTTGGTCATGCCTGCATCTGACTTTACCCTATTGACACTGACATCCTCTTAGACACTAATTTCTTATTTGTTGGTCCCCTGTTTAACACTGCTAATGGTAACAACATCCACAGGGACCTTCTTTATTGCATCTACACCTTTGTGTTTACAGTTTGAGAGAGAGAGAAAAAACTACACAAATTTCTAAGAAACCCTGTTGGAACTCACTTCTTCTTTCTCTTAGAAAATGTCAAATAACTGTATTTTAGAAGTACTAACATACTTCCTTTGCTTTCCAGTATACTTTTCCAAAAGTATAAGAGCAGTGGTATGTACTCACCCAGTAAACTGGCTACTATAGAGACCAATCCAGTTCCAGCTCCAATTTCAATCACATTTTTGTCGACCAAATTGTACTGTTTAGAATTGGTTTCCAAAAAATAACACAAAACGAGAGCCTGCAGGAGAGGGAATCCATGAATATACTGAATAAATAAATTAAATAAAAACCTTCACTCAATACACATTGTCATTTACAAGCATGCAAAAAAAAAAAAAATGTTTTATAATTTCATGTCTGTTTAAATGAGCAATATCCATTCAAACACTGTCCTGAAAGGAACATGACTCACTATCTTTGAGCTCTACAGGCTGACAAAACAAATGCCACCACATGCTTCGATATGGTCTTGCAAAGCATTGCAGCCAGAAGGAATGACTGCAATTATCTAATCTGTCACACTGCATAACATGAGCTGTAAAATTCCAGTCAGCAATTCCCACACTTATTTCTGGTTGAGTTAAAACATGTCTGTCACAAAGACATCTTGATATACGAACTGCATGTGAGAGAAAATCCACAACTCCTGCTAGTTTCTTGCAGTAATTATTTAAAATAATAATTAATGATCATAATGATTCAAAAAGGGCCAATAAATTCACCCCTTTACTTTTAGTTCAGTTTCTTTCTAGTTTTAATGTCCATACCTTGTTACATAGCCCTCTACAATTGACTCCTTATGTATACATTTATAAACTATGACTTAAGAAACTTCTCCAGCTTTTCTGTCCTATCTCACACTGACCAGTGTTCTTTAGATCACTCTAGAAACACAAATGGCTATTTTTACTCCTCTCACAAAGACAGTTTCCAGCCTGTCTCCTGTATTATTTCCCACACTTAGAAAATCATATAGTCTACACTGACAAATACATATATCGGTTGCTACATTATCTTGCAGTACAGATTGCCATTTGGGAAAATAATTAGAAATGATTCAGTTTGGCTCTGCAAAATTTTATTCTTGGTTTCACTTCAACAGATTAAAATATAGAAGGAACGGAGGAGGACTGTTGACTTTGTAAGAGATAGAAAGTCGGTGTTTTTGCTTTCAACCTCTTAAATCAGAGCAAAAAAAACAAGATTTTTCATATGAACACACAGATATCTCAATCAACAAAACTTAAAAATAGAAAGTTTGTGCACACTGTATTAATAAAAGCCAGGTTCTTTAAGACTGTGCGTGATATTGAACTGACTTTCTAAAACAAATCCTATCAAGTTTTCCTTTTAGCTCCATTCATTCCCATCATTTCGTCCCTTGGTGTCTTGACATGTTCTGCTGTTGAAACCAGCTGGCAGGCTCAAAACTTCTGTGACTTAAATTAGGGAACCTTTGAAACTCAGCTTCCTTTCCATGCAGAAGCTTAACTTCTCTTAAATTTTCAGCATTCTTGACAAATGTGACTGATATTTTTCAGAAGATTTCAAGTATTGCAGGTTGGAACAGAAGGGAGAATATAGAAACACAGTGGAGGTTTCCTTCCTTTCACAGAAAAATTGACTAAACCTCCACAGAAAAAAATGTGCATTTCAGTGTAGCCCTTGATTTGTGAGAATAATTAACAGCCAGCCAACCTTGCCTTGAAGACATTCACTGAGGCTGCTAAGAGATACAGTGTAAACAACTTCTCCAGTTCTGCTAAGGAAAAGTGTTTGGCATCCAAAGCAGGAGAGTACACTAACTCTCCTCAGCTGGATTATGGTCATGCTTCTTAAAAACAGCACAGGAAGCTGATACTGGGACAACAATGGAGCCTCTTGGCTTTTAGTCCTCTTGATTCTATAAGAGGTCTTGGAAATCTGTCTATTTTAGAGAGATTCTTTGAGCAATGCAAGTGTCAGTGGTTCATTGTGGCACCTGTCCACCCGCAGCAGTGTTTTTTCACTCTTAATTATTTCAAAACAGTCCATTAGCTGCATTGCACAAACTCAAAAGACTGAAGAAAGTTCTTTGTATGGTGGATACGTTGCTAGTTCTTATATTTTTGAGATCCTTCCCAATCTGAACCATCCTGTGATTCTGTAATATCAAGAGCCAAGAATGATGGTTCCTGAGAGCATGGATTCACTTCCACACACGTTTCTGTCTTTTTAAGAAACTGGAAGTCCTATGTGAATCTTCTCCCATGACTGCATATTTACATGCTAAATTTTTCTCTTGAGTAGCTTAAGTAGCATCTATGAGTGTCAGCACCTTATTGAGTTCTTTCTGAATCTGCTTTCTCTTTTTTTTAGGGTCATTTATTTATAACACGTACAGTAACGTAATTTTCATATAAGACCCACATTTCCTTTAAAATTTGCTTCTAATTGGCCAATAGGACCAGAAAGTTTCAACTGGAGAGGAGAAGGCATCACATCATACATGCTGTGTGAAGGGGCACAAACAAGAAATATGAGAGCTGCTCCAAAAGTAATGCCTTCTGTTCTATTATGTTGGCCTAGGACATCAGAGATGGATTTTGGTGGTATGGCAGTAGAGGTTGAACCTTTCGCCAATACTCTGTTACATTTTGTTGCTGTGTGATGATTGGCAGCAGAGGGACAGTTTGACAAAATGACTTCTGACATGGAAGTGGATATGAAGAAATGATGAGTTTAATTTCTCAATGAACAAAAAATTGCATCCCTTGATATTCATTGATGCTTCCTGAACACTTATAGAGACCAACCAGTGGATGGGAGCACAGTGAGGTGGTAGGAAGTGTGTTGCAATAGTGGCAGTGACAACATGAAAGACAAGCTGAATTCCAGACAGCCATGCACAACTGCCACACCTCAAAATAGAGAGTCTCAATCGGCTCATCCACACGAATCAGCAGATAATAACCACAGAACTGTGTATGGAGCTGGATATCAGCTTCAATGTGTTGAAAACGTTAGCAACGCTGGAACATCACAAGGTTTATGGCAGGTGGTCCTCACAAATTCTCACACATGAACAGAAAGAGCACCATACGCAACTTTGTCAAGTTTGTATGAGGCTAAAGGTGACAGTATTTTGGATCACATCATTAGCAGTGACAAGATGTGGTGTCATCACTATAAGCCAAAGTTAAACAGCAGTCCACAGAGTGGTGACATATGAATTCTCCATCAAACAAAAAAGTTCAGGGTGTAGCCCTCAGAAGATAAAGTGATATGCAGTCTTTTGGCATAAGTGGAGATCTTTCAGGATTTCCTGGAAACCTGAAAAACCATTAAATCTGACTGCTACATCATGACACTGACTGAGCTGAAGGTTCAAACTTCCAAATAAACAGCAGAGAAGACGACAGCCTTTTTCTTGCAACAGAATAGCACCAGGTCCCATAGCAGTTCGAAGACTGTGGAGCACACTGCCAATCTTGGATGGTCTGCTCTACCACATAGTGCTGGATTTAGTGCCTTCTGAATTCCATTTTTTTGTGCTGACGAAAGATGGACTGCACAGGCAATGTTTTCCTAACACTGACATTGTCATGGCAGTTGTGAAACAATGGGTCACCTCTGCTGCTGGAGATTTTTCTGAGCTCATCATACAGGCTCTTGTTCATCACTGGCAAAAATGCATAGCTAACCGTGGTGACTATATTGAAAAAGTCTTTTTAACTGAGAATGTGCTCTATCAAACAGTGCCACTGTACTCTTTGTATCTGTTGTGGATTGCATAGAAATAAATAAGAGGCAATATCTTTGGAGTGACCTGCATATCATTTAAGCTTTGAGAACCAGGAAGCCATAGGAAAACTAGGCTAAATTCAGGTTTGGGAACTGTAGAATGGAGAAAGTATAGAATATTATCCTTAACTTCACAACACACAATAAAAAATATTTATCACTAAAAAACCAACTAAACGTGTTAGAAGACTCCAAAACTGAAAGTAACAATATTATGTAAATATTGTACCGATGGCCAGACAACTGCCCCATAACAATCAGTGGCTTCTGTAATCCTTATCTCATGGCCAGCAAAGTGAAAGCCTTCCCAAGCCTTATAAGTTATAACATCAGGAAAAAAACGTCTTCTCATGATTTCAGTAACTATTTGTTCTTCTTCTTTTTCCCCTGGAAGTAAGAATATAAAAAGTTAAATAAGCTGAGAGGGCAGACAATGAAATCACCAATTTATGTTGAAATGCTGATTTGAAGCAGGAATTGGAATGATGTTTGTGACCTAAAATGCATTTTACCATTAATGGTAAAATAAATAAAATATATAATATATAATGGCATGATATATAGAAAGTCTCCTGAATTGTAATAGAAGTTTTCACTTTATGACTATATAAAGTAATTTTTTCCACTTTACTAGAAAAATGAAGTTCAAAAAAAGGGGAATGTTACCATATATTACTTTTCATTTCACCAAACCAACAGAAAATTATTTTTCACTTCAAGAACAGCTGCTCTCATATTTATTCTCATGGTCTTTTGCGCCTCGACTTTTTATTGTTTTCCATGTTCTTTTAATGTTCACTTTCCCCATGTAAATAAAAGGAATCACAATATCATATATAAGTCTGTCACAAAACTTGTGAAACAGATCCTAGCAACGCAAATTATGACAGACAGGAGAGAAAGCACTACTGTTGTCAAGAAAGCTTATCCACCCACACCAACAGAGCCTTGTAAAAGGGATTCTTTCCAGCTGGCTTGACATCCTGAATGCCATCCTTGCTGCTATGTGAAGGATATTTATGATAGCTAACATAATCCAGGGCAACCCTTCTACAAGAAAGGATTCATTCGTTTAGCTGAATACCAAGCCAGTGTCACTTTTGCAATCATCACACAAAGCCGCACCACAGTGTTGCAGATAACATGTAAATGAAGCTTTCCAGAGCATTTTCTTTGCAAAATCAAGAATCATTCCGAGTTTGCATAGTAAATTTGCTTTCACAGCCAGACACAATCTCTTGGCAAATTAGCTAAAGCAAAACATGTTTACAAGCTATACCTCCTAAAAAGCATGTTAAAGTTGTGGTAACTGGGTTACCATCTTTTCCAAAGCAGAATTTCTCTATCAGGCCTGCAGTTGCCATCCAAATCACAGGCAGAAACATCAAGATGGCACAGAATGACACACAACTGGATGACACAGCACAGAAACTGCAGTGGCCATTAGAAATGAATATACTTGACTACCATCCTTCAGTAAATCTATATAAAGAGAACAGCAGCTGTTGGCATTATAGAAGAGCCTACATTTTCTTCCCCTCCAAGCCACTGCTCTTCTGTATGCATTGGTATTTTTATTGCCATAACCTATCAAGAGAGGCAACTCTCTCTCCTTTCCTGGAACTACAAACAAACAAACAAAATAATAATAATAATTACAAATAAGGATGGTATCTCACAAATCGATTGGAAAAAAAATAAAATACTAGTTGTGAGCCAGCAGTGTGCCCATGCAGCTCAGAAAGTAAATGGACAAGGGGAAATGGTTTTAAGTTGAGGAAGGGCAGATTCAGGCTGGATGTCAGGGGGAAGTTCTTTACTATGAAAGTGGTGAGGTGCTGGAACAGGCTGCCCAGAGAGGTTGTGGATGCTCCATCCTTGGAGGTGTTCAAGGCCAGTTTGGATGGGATCCTGGGCAACTTGGTCTGGAGTTAGATATGGAGGTTGGCAGCCCTGTCTGAGGCAGGGGGGTTGGAGCTTCATGATCCTTGAGGTCCTTTCCAATCCAAGTCATTCTATGATTCTATGATTATATGACACAACTAAATTAAAAATAAAATAATATATATACACCACTAGAAAGAAAGTTAAATAGTATAATTTATTAAAGGTAACATAAATAGAATAATCTTAACGTTAAAATGATGATATTTTAAAATATCAGATGCTAAGTCATAGCTTACAGTCAGCACATAACACTAGAGGCTTGCAGGAGTTGTAAAGTTGAGAGAAGGCACATATGTCACTGAGCCCATGAGCAGGAAACTCTAAACAAACAGGAGTTACGTACGATAGAAATGCTGCTTTGAGGCCACAGTAATTTTTTCCTATGAAAAAATAATATGAGGATTTCTTATCACAGATATTGTAAAGTGTATTTAATTTATCATCCTGTGTCTAAGTGTACTAGATCTAGACTGCTTTTAATCTTCTCAGACCGCTTACAGCAGTCTGATCTCATTCTGTGATTAGCACTAGCTGTCAAAATAAAAAGCTATTCCTTCTATTACTTCTCAATTACAGCCATTTTTCTCTTCTTCTTCTTCTTTTGATAACTGCTTTGGATCCAATTTTGATGAAAAGCCCTAACTTATAAAGTCTTAACTTACAAAGCTTCAGCCCAAAGATCTATAAAGCTCCAGAAGTATTACAGCTACCCCTCTCGTGTTCAATAAACATTTCCCACTTACTTTTTTATATTGTCAGTAATCTTTCTACTCAAAGCTTGTGTTGTACCTGCACTATTAAAGTTTGTAGGCCACTGCTCCCTGCCTAGGATAAATTATCCATACTCCTGAAAGAGGAGATCTAAATCTACTAGTTAATACCACTTAAATCACTGGCCCTCTTACTCCTTCAGTAATCCCATAGGTGGGATACATGAAGAAGCTGACATAACACAATCTTCTCTTTGTTTCACTGTATGTCTATGAAAGACAGGCTTCAAAACTCACCTTAGTGAGAAATTTAATCAGGACCAAGAAACTAATGACAAAGTAAAGACCACAGACCTTTAGCCAGACATGCTTACTTCCACATAAATCTTTCCTTACAGTCCAAAAAGCACTCTTCTATTTTCTACTTTATATTGTTCAGAATAACTAAACTCCGTGTGTGACTGAGATACACACAAAAACAAAAATAAAGCAAAAATTTTTTTTTCTGCTACAGTCTTCAGAGCAGTCAGAACAGAAAAATAACAAACAAGTAGAAAATCTATAATGCAAGAAGAATATTGTTATCTGTGTAAGCAAAGCCCAAGTGAAATAAAGTCTTCAAATACCTGCTAAAGTATTAAAGTTCTGCTAGTTATGCTTTGATCAAAATCTTCTTTCTTGATACCAGATATAAAAAGCTGATAGGAAGTTATTCTCCTATAAGTGTTCAACTCTGTGTTAGTCCTTATTCAAGTTGCAATGTTGAGTTACAACTCAGTGAAAGAATTTCAGTGATATTTAAAGATAGAAAGACCCATCACTAATAAAGGGTCAGACAAGGGAAGAGGAGGCTTCACTGACCTGAATCAGTTCTTGTAAGAATGGAATTTCATACTGGGTATTTCCAGCAATATTACTCAAGCACACACAACAAACCATCAGAACATAAAGGTCTGCTAGAACTGGTTCCTCCCTTCTTCATTTACCTGAGTTTAATGAAGTGGGCTATCACTTTCTCTTCCTTCATGTTTTGGAGAGACACAGAAGTATATCTACATACATAGACATTATATACATAGAAATGTACGTACAGTTTACTGATCTCTTTGCATTTGCATGCAAACACAGAAACTACTGGAATTTCATGTGCTAAAACATATTTACGTCAAGAAGGGATAGTTTGACCCTGCCCACTTAGCATATAGAGACTCAGATAATTTTTGTTAATAAAACAGCACTCCTCTGGCCTTGAATTGTTGATCTTGATCACAAACAAATTTCTGTCTATAGATGTCATAAATCCTTCCTAAAATAGAATTTGAAGTTATGTAACTTTCATAAGATTTTCTGTCTAACAGGTTAATGACTTGGAGAGTCCTTTGAAATAAAAATTCTTCTCCAGAGGGCTGCTGGGCACTGGAACATGTTCCCCACAGCAGTGGTCAGAGCACTGAGCTGCGTTTGGACAATGCTCTCAAACAGAGGGTTTGAATTTTGGGGAGGTCCTGTGTGGAGACTTGGGTTGGATTCAATCAGTGATCCTTGTGGGTCTCTTCCATATGAGGATATTCTGTGTTTCTGTGATGCCAGGTAAAGTTTCATTTATCATAAAAACCTAATGTTGTTGGAGCATACTCTTTGAATTCCTCTGATTTTCAGTTAATACAAGGGCAGAAGGACAGTCTTGTATGTTGATACAATTTTGCACTATACCAAAGACATAATTAATAAAGCAATGAAAACGTGAAAACATCACTCTCACCGGCAAAGCAATTACAATTATTATTATTAAAAAAAAAAAAAAAAAAACACCAAGAACATAGTTTTCCAAAGAGAGATAATAAATGATGTGGAAGACTAGTGTCCTGAAGTTAGTGGCAAGCTGATTACGGAAATGTATAAGAAGCTGCAGAATCTCATTTAGAGAACTAGAGGTTTTCTGCTGATGCATTTAAACATCAAGCAGAATGTTTTATACGAGAACAAAACCTTAAGAAAGAAAAGGACCTGAGTGCTACTGAGACAGAGCTAGGGAGGTGAGGAGGGGAAGGCAGAGCAAGATAATACGTAGAATACGTTGGGATAAAACAAGCAACAAATTAGAACATCTTTAACAATAAGGGAAACTACAAAAATGGGCCTTAGGCTAACATTATCTGCATGCTGGTGGGTTTTTTTTGCTAGGAAAGAAATAGAATAGTATGTTTTGAAACATTCTACGTAATTGTTTATTCTGTTTGCACCAGGAGTTACATAAAAATTGTACTTGGGTAGTACACAGCTCCACCAGGAAACAGTAATCTTAAAATTCACTTGGGTACTGTGCATCAGTAATTAGCATGCCAATTATCTGAACACACACCTATTGATACTTCCTATGTTAATGCATTTTTCACCAAACTGATAAAGAACAAACACTGCTAAACAGCACTTAAAATGCAGGAAAAGTGACAAAGACAAGGATTGTGAATTAAAATTAAAATATACTGATAATTTATCCTGATAACAGAATTATGATGTGACTAAGATAAAGGAAGAAAACAACCCCTGTACATGGGATCTATGAAGAATATACCTGTAGTCAATATCTACATTTTCTGACTCACCCACAATCAGCAGATTGAGTAACAAAACATCCTTCAAGTATTTTGTTAATGCATTTGCGGTTGAACTTGGTGATCTTTAAGGTCTTCTCCAATCTGAGCAATTCTATGACTCTATGATTAATAC